GTACGAAAGAAGAAACGTCCTGTAAAATTAAGAGACTTTGTTGCATTTAATGCAAGTGGCTATTGTTCGGGACTAACAATACTAAGGAAGGGGCAGTGTTGCAAGAGCAGAAGTCACGTGACGTTGGTTTTCTCGAATGATCGGGGAAGTCCAAGTGTGATCGAGATGCCATCTTTGTTAGTATATAAGCCTGGCAGAGAAAGCTAGTGGATATATAAATGAAGAGAGAGAGAACATTAGTTACTCTGAGTTCCGTGTAATTTATGATTTTGTTAGTTTCTAGCTAGTGGGCTGTAACTTGTGTGTTTTGCACTCGTCGAGAGCAAAGTTATCGAGATTGTGAATTGCTGTGATTTATAGCGTGTATTATAAAAGTTGTTTAGTTTAAAGTGACGAGAAACGTATTGATTGTGCAACTACTGTGTACTAAAAGTTTGTATCGAGGAAAAATAAACTGGTTTAATCAAAAAATGACTTATGTTGCTGAAGATCCTTGGAAAGAGTTCTACCAGAAACAAACAAAGAAGCAGATACGTGACACCTGTAAAATCTTTGCAAGGAGACAAACTAATATTACATATGTTTAAATATGAAAATCTAACCAACATTAAGTGCAAAACGTACAATAGCAACAAATACACTTTACCAAGGGTTGACAGTTTACAATATACATAAATATATGAATAGACTTTGCTAATAACTGTATTGTATTATTATTTTTAATGAAAACATTTCATAAACCCTCTACTAGTAAAACATAAAACACTTCAGGTTAATCACACACACTATTCATTGAGAACGTTCTATTAAAATTATTTTCTAGCTTTATCATATCATTACAGACGTTGTCCTCATGACTGGTTATGCTCTTCTTGACAACCATGTATTGCCCTGTAGCATGGTTACTATCAGAAAAGGCTCAGTTGTAAGGTTGTCATGTTTACATCACACCACTCCTCCCTTCAACATTCTATAATACATTTAGTTTATGAAGATGGAAGTTTCCCAGGGCCTATTTAATCAGTCCAATCACACAAAGTTATAACAACTGCATCTAACTATTTGATTTGCAAACCTTCAAATGTAATAGCATGAATACCACTTCATTCTCCAGTTGTTTGAGGTATGCGACAATTTAATAGACATATTGTGTACACATCACTTGTGTCACGTTCTTGGATGACATTCCTTTATAATTACGTTGCATACTGAACCAATTTTTTACAATTCCAATGTAGTGTATTGTTGCATTATGCCTTTGAGGAACCTTTGTTCATGAGGTGAATATCAAGTATTTGCAGAATGGGTACAGTCAGGATACTATTTGCTCCTCTAAAAGAGTCAAAGGACCCAAGCTCTGCTCTCTGCTATGAGAAAATTTACCACACCAGCACAAGCTTGCACTATAAAAACCACATATGTAGAGTTCAGTGCCTTGTTATTCTACTGTAAGTACAAAACACGTATGTCACACACTTCCAGTCATTCATTGTCCACAACTTTTAAGTTTAGAACCTCTGTGTGCATGTAAAATAAGCATGTAAGCTATACTTCCCCTACCAAGAGTGAAAGAAGATGACATAAACAAAGACACAGGGGTAATAAAATGGAACATAGATATTGATGTTTTCAGTGGCTCAAAATGTTTATTGGTTTGGAGATGTTACTTTCTGTCTTTGTTTTTCTCAATTTCTGAAATATCAAAATGTTTTATTCTGATCATTTGTTTATTTTAGGTGGGTGTGATCCTCATATAAGATGCTGGGGAGAAATGGTTGCTACAAAAATGACATTTGTGTACAGACTTTCCTCTAACAAGTGGACAAGAGTGGCTGACATGCATAGTGCACGATCTCATCATAGTATGGTAGTTTTCAATGATTCCATTTATGTCATTGGAGGAAGAGATGACTCTGGAAGGTAGAAGGTTTACTAGCTGTATCTGGAAAACATCAAACTGATCTTACTTAACATAATTCTGATGAAACGAAAACATTCACACAACAATTATATGAAATTTGTACCTTGCTGGTTCATTGCTAAGTAATGTATTGGAAGTGTAGTTCCTTAACTATTTGAAGAAGACATTATTAATGGTTGATATCAATGTTATGTTGCAGGTAACTAGTATATCTTGGAAAATAGCCTAATAAATGAAAACATAGTTACAATTTACACATCATTTTAATGTAAGATTCAATGTTTCCTTTGAACAGGTTGAGTGCATCTGTCGAGTCCTATGTTCCTGCAGTAGATGAATGGAACCAAGAGAAACCCATGCCTTTACCACGAATGGGGATGGCAGTGGTTTCTCATGGAGGGTATCTTTGGGTTATGGGTGGAGTTACCTCAACAAAAGGTGGAAATATAAATCCTCCAGTATTAGATGATGTTATTTGCTATGATCCAGTGTTTAAACAGTAAGAATGTTGTGTACATTTATGAATTGTAATTAGAATGTTTTACTACATTGAAGTGATTTAAATATGTAAAATAAAAATAAGAACAACTTTTTTTTTTTGTTACTGGCCTAACAAATATGATTAAAATCACATTTGACTTGTATTTTTACATGCTTTTGAGTTAGCTAGTGCAAAAGAATCCTTTATGAATTATGCCAATAAATATTATGGCCCACGGTCCTAAGCAAACAAGAGTGCTCAGAACCTCCCAGCCAAATTTATTATACACTAAAATATAACTAAGAATTATGAAGAAGGCTAAATGGAAATGAATCTGATATGTTATGTGCAGTGATAAGAAAGAAAGAATAATTAAGCAAGCAATTAAATGGAGATCTAACTTGAAGAAGAAGTAGACCGAGACCAAGGTAGATTGGCTCGATGAAAGTTGGAGATAAGTGGGATGATGTCGAAGATGCAGTTTGGGATCGACATCTTTGGACTGAGTTCATGGGGGACCTTTGTGTCACTATGTATGTAGGGCCTTAAAATACAAGAAATAAATAATGGGAAACTCATCTACAGTTAAGGCTACTTTCACATATTTTACTGCACTTGATAAAACATTTCATAGTCACACACTAACCAAAACAATGTATATATATATACCTAATGATTGAAATTAATTGTAAATCAAAATGTTATATATGAGCATCAAGTGAAGATACCCTCAATTCATCTAACTTACGCAATGAGTATGAATTGATATATGTAAAAGCATCAAAGTATCTTTAATTTGCTTTGCTTTTTATACAGTTGGGTAAGTGGAAAGCCATTAAGAATTGCCAGAGCATTTGGTTCAGCTGTCGTATGTGATGATAAAATCTGGCTGTGTGGAGGTGCAGCTCCATCACAAGATGAGAACAATTATCTTGTAAGTATTCCAGCTATAGATGTGTATGACAATGAAGCTCTGGAATGGATCCAGAAAGCCACCCTAAGCTGCCCTCGACATTCTTCTGTAGTTGTTGCACTAGGTAAGATACATGATGAAATCGTTGCCTTATATAAAAAATTGGCATGTAGGAATATTTATATCGAATTACATAATGTTAACTTTGGTTGTGTTAAAACGCACTTTTTTTTTACCCGTAGGGTACTGTAACCAGTGGCTGTATAGGCTATTCATTGGAGCTCGACTTTACCACCAGTCACAATAGAATTCTATTAAATTTAGAAATACAGTCGTGAGTGGACTGCACAAGTCACTAACTTGAGGAAGTTTACAGTTAGAATAAAGAATCTGACTCTGAGACTGAGATACAAAATCCACTTCAATCTTTAATATAACCATTCTAATATTCAATTATATTAACGTAACTATCTATTAAAAAAGTCACCAACATAGGCTTAAATCAATTGTGCTTTAAGAACCTTTCTTAACTCTTTACTTGAATTTTATTCGATTTGAGAGAGATAGCAATAATTATTTACATGAAACTTGAGTGAGACATATTTTCTGGCCCTTGCAAAGGAGACACTGGCATAGTTGTTCCAAACTTCAAAATAATAGCAGCAGGGCAGTTTTATTGATCACTTTTCTTTGGGAAATTGGCTTAGATTTCTTCAGCAGATTTCTATGCCGAGGAGAACTCTCTTTTTGACCCAAAACAGGGGTTCTTATACCAATTCCTTTATTTCTCAATGTTGATTACAATACATCTTCAGTTTATACTTCACAAACTTTCTTTCATGGTCACGCGTATGCAATGCATTGCATAATATTTCATCATACTGGGCCATATATGTTTTTGGCATATATTTCTCGCTCATGGAATCATTGAAAATAACGAAAACTGCTTAAAAATTCCACAGTGCTTCAGTACTTTGTGCAATAGCTTAATACATCCTTTACTTTAAACCACAATTCTGATGTTATTTAAGTTTAAAACTCTCTCTCTCTCTCTCTTACTCAGGGTCATAGAAAAAGCAAATTTTGAAATTTTTGTCTAATAGTTCTATGATTAATGAATGAAAAGACTGACCCAAAGGCATTCTATCGCCAAACATTGTGAACCACAACTTAGTAAATTGAACTATTTGTGATTAAATTTTAAAGATTTTCTTAGTGGCTATATTCTCAAATCATCTTGCACAAAAGTGTGTGTGTGTAATACATTTTTGTACAAATAATGATCCTTCTTCCAAAAAAATTTTAGTTTTAAAATCAAAGTACTAAAACACATCCAACCAAATAAAAAAAAAATTCACCCTTGGTGTTTAGTGAATGTGTACCAGCAGTGGATTTCTTGATGTCATGATAATTTATTCAAACTTTGGAGCTCTAGTAACACAATGACAATTATTTTCAACCTTTGGAATAAAGAATTACAATAACATTCTTTTTATTACTTTTACTAAATAAATTAAGTACTCCTTCTATCTTATCTTCAAAAAAGGGAAATTACAGCTTATTGTAGTAGTATATCTGTGATGGCCATCGTTATACTAACTGTATGTAGCTTCCTTATATTCAAAATTTGTAGACTGTAATAATTCAGTCTTAACCACTGTAATCCTTGAGATTTCAACATATCCTCAGAAGACTTCAACCTTTTTCTTATAGTATTGTTACGACAGCGGAAGTCACGTGACCTGGTAACACGTTATGAGTTTCTAGAAGGATCATGACTCTTCCGGGTAACTCTAGTCTTTTCTACGCGCCCTCTATTATAGTATATAAGCCGGCAAATAAAGCTGAGGAAAAATAGCATGAAGAGAGATATAGAGACAGATAATCAAGTCAAGTGAGCGGTAGTGACCGTAAGTAAAGTGCGTGAATCATTGTGAATTATAGCATGTGTTTAAGTTAAAGTAACTGTGGAAATTAAGTGTATTGCAAAGTAGTATTGAGAAAGAATAAACT